AAAATATTCTCTGATTTTAAAATGGAACACCCACAAGCATCCCCACCAACACCTCTTCTGGATTCTTCCCCACCCCCCTCTTTAGCAAAACCAATTCAATTCTTTTTATCATTTTAACTTATAAATTTAACCATTGTTTTACCAAAGCAATAAAACCTTAAAAAATTTTATTCCATAAAAAGTTTGTGAATTCATAAATTTTGAATCCTTAAATAACAACCAACTCTTCCCCACTTTTTTTTCAGAAGTCCAATTCAAACTGCCAGGGGGACAATAGTCTTCTTCTTACTCGTATTAATCGGCGTCCTATCCTCTACAGATTTAGCAGAATCTTGGCTTTGAAAATTCATTGAATAGCTCCTCTTTCAATTTCTCATTACCATCTTCATTGATTGCTTTATACTCCGTAAGTGTTGCAAATTTTAGGTTTAACCAGTTCCCAGGGTTCAGACATTATCTTTTCATCATTAGCATATACCTTGTTTAACATTATCTTAAAGTAATTCTTTTTCTGTTCCAAGATACGCTTTTCTACTTCTATCTCTTGTTGTACTTTATCTTTTCTACTCTTGATTAATTCATCCGCTATCAAATCTATATCTTCCTCATCAACCTTTGAAAACCTGCTATCATCACGCAATAATACCATGATATTTGCTCGACAGCTATCCAGTTGTTCAATACCTTTAGGCCATTCGTATCCGTTTTCTATCAATACCTGTTGTGCAATCGATTTTTGGGCCATGATCGATGACTTTTTCTCTTCAACCATGCTATAAAATAAATCCAGTGCAGAAGAACCTTTTCTACCCAAAGTATTCAAATATCGTTCATCATTCTTGAAACTTGGATACAAGTCCGACCACTTTGAATTAGCCCTGATTTTGATCAATTTTTCATCATTCAAAAGCTTCTTAAAACCGTCTCTTGCTATTCTATCTTGGGTGTAATTTTTAGCATCTATTTCTTTTAATTTATCGACAAAATTTAATTCAACACTTTTTATTATTTCTAAATACTCCTTTAGAACATCTTCCTGGGTTAATATATTGAAATGCTTATTTGCCATATATCTTTTACTTTTCTCAAAAAGGTAACTATTTAAAAGTTGTTGCCAAGTCAAGGGAAGCCTTAAATTAGAAGTTGAGTTTGTATCTTGGAACACAATGGACTTCAAATATTCTCTAAGTTCTCTTAAAGCCTGGTCCTTTAATTTTTGATCTTCTTGATCTTTTTCTTGTCTTAGGCCACCAATATATTCGAAGAAAGTTGCCTTTTTAACAGATTCATTAACGGTAGAATGTTTATATATAGGTTCATTACCAATCAGCCTCTTTGCAGTTGACCATCTAGTATAGTAGTGAATTTCCTTTTTATCTTTCAACATATCAATGAATGCCTTTTGAAATTTATTAATCTCTATATGTTCTTGTAGAAGTTGATCTTCTGTTCTATTGGATAAATATTTTTCAAACGTCTGTTGTTTCCAAATAGGATCGTCGTCTACCAACCAATACCTTGGATCAGTACTGCCCAATTCTGAGATAATTTTACTAAATGACCAAGTTGCATCAACTGAATTTTCCTTTAACATTTCCATGAAGAATTTTTCAGCATCTTCTTTAGATTTTTTAGGAGCATGGAGAATCTTTGATTTATTAATAAAATTGCTATCAACTGCAATCTCAGTTCCACTTTTATTATCCGTTGTCTCTACAATTCGTTTTTCTTCAATTTTTACAGGTTCCTTATCGATGATTTTAACTTCATCAAATTTTGGCAATTCCCAACTAGATTCACCAGTTTTAGTGTTATAATAATATATTTTCCCAGCCTTTGATTTCCCTATGCTCCAACCATTTTTTTTCAATAATTGTTCCTGTTTAGAAGGTGCTTCAACTGGTTTTTCCCATCTTGATTCACCGGTCTTTGAATTATAATAATAGACCCTTCCGTTGTTATCCTTAGCTTCTTTCCAAATATCAGACATTCCAACGATTTAACAATCCTGAACCGATCCCTTTCACGTCCTAATGACCTTATACCATCATCCAAATGACATATTTTCTATTGTATAGCTGTATACTTCATATCTACATATACATTTTTTAGCAGTTGTTAAAAATCGATGAGGCTCGGGAAACGGTTTTGATATTTAAAACTGAGTAAAGGTGGGATGTCAGTAATTTAAATAAAAAAGTGATTGTAATAGAGGGTTGACTGTTCTGAACTGGGAGTCAAATTTAATATTCTGGGAAATAATTGTATACATGGGGTTGCAATGATGAATTGGACTTGTCCGCTTTCATTTCCATTGATTTTATTTCAATTTCTTGTCGATTGATAACCATCGATTGAATTTTAATAAGAGAAAGATGGAAAGGAATGTATAATTTTCAACCATACAAATATAGTGATTATGATTAATTACTTAGTGGCAGTGGTAAGAGGGTGGGTCCTAACAGCCTCGAATTTACGTTGCATTGCGTTTCGTTGTATCAATTTTCCACTTGGGTTTACCCTCCTTAACAAGCGCATAACATATTTTCGAAAAGGGGCATAATCCGAAACCTTTGACCTGAATGAACTATATAAAAATAAAGAGTACTTTGGATTGATTGATTGAAATACATGTTTAAACAAGCATTAGATATCGATTGGTGTAGTAGGTATTGTTCCACTAGGAGAGCAAAGCGAAGGGTCCATTTTATATTGCATTATGTCACAATCATTACGTCCATATTTAACAGCAGTGCGCTATTCACTTGAAGCAGCCTTGACTTTAAGTAATTTTTCATCACAAGAAGTTGAAAGACATAATAGACCAGAGATTGAAGTTGGCAACACAAGTGCTGAGTTGTTATTACAACCTATGCATGTTTCGCGTAACGAGAATGAACAAGTTCTAATTGAGACCAGTGTCAATTCCGTTCGTGTTAACATCAAGGTCAAGCAAGCAGATGAAATTGAACAGATATTGGTACATAAGTTCACGAGATTTTTGGAACAGCGTGCAGAATCGTTTCATATTCTGAGACGTACACCAATTGCAGGATACAGTATTTCATTTTTAATCACCAACAAGCATACAGAGACCATGAAGACCAGCAAACTAGTTGATTTTATAATTGAGTTTATGGAAGAAGTAGACAAAGAGATCAGTGAAATGAAATTGTTTTTGAATGCAAGGGCTAGATTTGTAGCAGAGGCATATTTAGGGGAGTTTGTATACTAGAGAGTGGGAGTTGTGTAAGAGAGACGAAGAATATATATATATATATGTGAGTGGGTGAGTATGTATAAGTGAGTGTGTATGTATATATATGTTTATTTAGTTATAAAAATTTTGAAATTTTAGTTGAGACATCAGGTTGCGTTTGCGTTGGAGGTGTGACTGGGGGAGTAGATTGAACGACAGTTGGTTCCGCTGTGACTCTGGTTGTGACCGCGGTTGTGGTTGTAGTATTAACTTCATTTATTATTGAATTCCAGAGATCATCCAAAGATTGGTCTGTGTTAGTTGAGCCATTCAGACTATCCAATATTGTTTTCGAGGAGTAATCATTGGTTGTGGAGGGAGTCTTGTCGATGATTGAGTTCCAATTGTTTGATCTTGTGAATAGTTTATCTACCAAGAAGAGTTCCTTGGCCAGGTCGAAGTTGTAGTCGTTGTGTGCTTTTATTCTTGTCAACAGGTTGTTCAAGATGTCTAGTTTGAGATTGTATCTTCTTTTCAGTTCTGAGACGTTACGTTGTTGGTCTGTGACGGCGGACAGGACGGAACCGAAGAAGAGGACTACCAGGACAGGTTTGATCAAAGTGGTGTCATAGCGTTTAACGTTTGAGGATTTTGTGTGAGTGGGGGAGGTGGTGGTTGTAGAGTTTCTCAAGCTATTTCTGAGACTGGCGGTGGTTGAGAACAGTCTTGATTTCATGGCAGGTGGTTGGTGTGTGTGCAATGGGATGATGCCTCTCTGTGTCTCTCTTTATATATACATATATACATATATACAAGTATACTATGCATATAGTATACTTGTATGTGATATGATTTGATGAGTACAGAGAGAGAGAGAGAGAGATGGGGTGACCAGCCGACAGCGACAAACACGAATCACGTGCACATCACCCGAGACGAAACCCGAAACACCGAAAACCCAAAAAGCATCGAAACCATTTTTTTGTTGGATGGGGCACCAGCACACAGAGACACAGAGAGAGTGGGCCAGTCCAACAACAAACCAAACCAAACCAAAGCATCCACCGTCAACCATCGATCCATCCACGTCCACATGCTTCTGTCCATCTGCCACAGAGAGAGAGACAGACACAGACAGAGACAGCCACACCTCTACCTCTGCAATCCCACCTCGCTTACCCGGACAATCCAACAGTTTTGTTTCTTTCTGTTTCTCTCAATTCCCATTCTCAGTTCTCGCTCTGTCGCTCCCGCAGAACCGCCTTGGAAATCCCATGGCTCATCCAGAACTGCAACTGCAACTGCAACACATCTGCAAAATCTGCAATCTACAACAACCTACAAACTACAAACTACAAACCACCACATCCCATCACATCCATCTGTCTGTTCTCTTCATACTTGTGGCAACTAGATCGTCTTTGTGTAACTTATATCTATTCCTCATGTCTTCCAAAGCTTACCTTACATATATATAAAACAATACCCATCACCAACTATACACATACACCTACACCTACACCTACACCTACACACCCACCCACTCATATATATATATATCAAGATATATATATATATTCATTCATACACACAGATATAGAAATTGAGACTCTCTTCCCAAACAATTATCACTCACACTACATCCTACCCCAACCAACATCGTATCCGTTACCCACACACACACACACTCTCTCTCTCTCTCTCCACTGGCATGCAACATCTACACTCGCATGATGACGATAGCAACACTATCATGCTAGACTCACACATGATACTAGACAACGACGAAGACGATCTCTTGAATAGCAGTGCTTCAAGCACTGCTATTCACGATCTATTGGATGAATTCCTATACCCAAATGAAATCGAAAACGAAATGGAAATAGAAACAGATCACAAGTTCAACAACAACGAAGAATTGTTCACCACTTTCATCAAAACTGAAGAAAATATCATGAACCACAGCAACAGCACTTCCTCAACCTCAAACAAGAAAAAAATAACAAATACAAACAACATGTACGAGATCCTGATAGATAACACTGTCACTTTTGGTAATAAAACTGAACTCTCCGATGACGAAAAGACAAATAACGAAATAGACATGCAAAACAGAATTAACGAATACCTAAGTGTCAATAACGATTATCTACCACATCAACTCGTCATCTCAAAATTACCAGAAAATTGTAGAGTAGAAAATCAAATCAATATCAATTTGAAATTTAACCCTCCTCTACTAAAACAAAATATCGTTCATCTACCTTCAAATTGTATCTCAAAGCAAAAACTATTACTCACTAAAAAAATTATCAACTATCCAAAAAATTTTAAAGATGAAATAGGCTTCTTGGAGGCATACCTACTGTCCAACTCAACAAATAAACTCATCACAGTATGCTCAATGTGTGTCAAAAGAGAACAAAGAAGAGCCTCAAGAAGAAAGTCAGGTTTAAGCGATAACATGCTATGGTGTACAAACAAAAATAAAAGTGCTCTGATCTTTAACAACAAACAGATTTTCCCAATCAATAACAACAACAACTCTTCCTCCTCCTCAATAGAGCTAATAGCAAGAATGGTTTGCTACACAAGACACCATAAATCAAACGACGGCTTCAAAATCTTATTCGTATTGAAAAATTCAAATAATGACATCCTAGCCAAAAATTTGTCGTCTCCAATTCAAATCATGGATAAAAAACCCTTATCTTCAAATTCTTCAATTTCAACTACTACTACTACTACTACCACTCCTATTTTCACGCTACAAAATAATCACAACAAGAATCAC